GAGTACACGAGGATGTCATCTATGTACACCACCACTCCCTGTCCCTGCATGTCCCTGAAGATCTCATCCACGAATGATTGGAAAACTGACGGAGCATTCATCAACCCGTATGGCATGACGAGATACTCGTAATGGCCCGAGGTGGTACTAAAGGCTGTTTTCCATTCATCATCCTTCCTGATGCGCACCAAGTTGTACGCGCTCCTGAGATCTAATTTCGTGAAGAAACGCGCCCCATGCAACGACTCAGTCATGGTCGCAATCAGCGGGAGTGGATAACTATACTTCACCGTAATCTGATTGAGACCACGGTAGTCGATGCACGGACGCAACCCCCCATCCTTCTTCTTCACGAAAAAGAAACTCGAGGACGCGGGGGAAGTGGACGGCCGTATGTATCCTTGTCTCAGTGATTCGTCTATGTAAACCTCCATAGCTTTCTTCTCCTCCTGAGACAGAGGATACACATGACTCCGTGGGAGCGCAGCTCCTGCCTGAAGGTCTATCGCACAATCCCCCTGCCTATGGGGTGGCAATCGCGTCGCCCTCGCCTTACTAAACGCGATAGCCAGATCCCCATACTCAGGTGGAATGTGCAATGCGGGCACCTGGTTTGGACTTTCCACCGAGGTAGCCCCTAAGGAAACGCCCAAACATCTACCCACACACTGAGCAGACCACTCCTTCAGAGCCCTCTCCTGCCACGAAATAACGGGGTTATGGGTACTTAACCAGGGCATGCCCAGCACCACCGGATACGCAGGAGAGTCAATCAGAAACAGTTGTATTATCTCCTGATGACTCCCCTGCGCACACATCCTAAGTGGCGCCGTGACCTCCCTGATTAAGCCCGTACCCAACGGACGACTATCTAGGGCGTGAACGGGAAAAGGAACTTCCACAGGGAGAAGGGGAAACCCTAACTCTAAACAAAACTTCTTATCAATGAAATTCCCAGCCGCGCCTGAATCTACCAGCGCCTTACACTGGGAATGAGGTGCCACCTGCGGAAAACACACAGGCATACAAAAATGGGCAACAGTGAGCTCTGGGTGAGTGGGGCGCCTACTCACCTGGAGGGAATCCCCAGTGCGGGACCTGTCGTCATCTCCCCGAGGAGGCCATCCCCAGCACCTAGCCGCGGTGTGTCCTCCCCGACCACAGTTGGTGCAGTGGATGGACCCCCCACTCTGCCGACTCCTCCTACCTCTAGCGCCAGCGCCCCCGAGCTCCATAGGACACGGCTCGGGTGCGCTGGAGGATGGAATGGACGGACCCCCCTCAGGACGTCCGCGGGTAGCCAATAGGTTATCCAACCTAATTGACATGTCGACCAGCTGGTCGAAAGTGAGACTGGCGTCCCGACAGGCCAGCTCCCGACGGACGTCCTCTCTGAGGCTACATCGGTAGAGATCGATGAGGGCCCGATCATTCCACCCTGCATCTGCCGCTAGAGTACGGAATTCGAGTGCGAATTCCTGGGCACTCCTCCTCCCCTGCCTAAGGAAGACCAGACGCTCCCCCGCCGCTTTCCCCTCCGGGGGATGGTCGAACACCGCCCTAAAGCGGCGGGAGAACTCGGTGTAGGTAATGGTCGTGGCGTCGATCTTCCTCCACTCCGCGTTGGCCCACTCCAACGCTTTACCGGCCAGGCAGGAGATTAGGGCGGACACGCTCTCATGCCCTGACGGTGCCGGATGGACTGTGGCCAGGTACAGCTCGACCTGGAGCAAGAACCCCTGACATCCAGCCGCTGTCCCGTCGTAAGCCCTCGGGAGAGATAGTCGGACTCCTCGATGTTCCGGTGCTGGAACGGGCGGGCTGGCCGATGGTGCTGGCTGGGCGGGCGGTGGTGGAGGCGAACCCCAGCCTCGGAGTGTGGAAATAACCTCCTGCAGGGCGTTCCCCATCTGCAGGAGTTGCTCCTGCTGATCCCGAACCTGGGCTTCCAGTCTTGTCTGGGCTGCTTCTGCTCCTGCTGATTCCATGGGTGGTGTGTGATTCTGTCAGGGCGTGTGTAGGTGTGGTGGAGGAAATCAGATGCAGGACGCAGACGGTAGGTTCCAAAAGCTGTATTCCGACCCAAACACAGGCAACAGGGCAACAAAGCCCAACAGCTAAACTACGCCCAAGGCGTGTAGGCAAAATGCGCACAAACAGGTGCGACAAAATATGTAGTGCACGAAACAAGTGCAAACGAGCTCCAGCGCAGTGGAGAGAAATATGCTCAACCGAGCAAACACGACACTGACGAAAACAATCACACACAACACAAGACAAACACAACGAGAAACTTATAGGACACTAATCACGTAAAACAGAAACAGGTGTGACACAAACAGACAAAAGCAAACGAACATGAAAACATAAATCGGTGGCAGCTAGAATTCCGGAGACGACGAACGCCGAAGCCTGCCCGAACAAGGGAGAGAGGCAGCCTCGGCCGAAACCGTGACACTTACTGAGCAGTATAGGTGATTAATTCCAGATTGTGGTGTTTAATCTATACGTTATAACACAGCAAATATACATGTTAGAGGCCTAAAATTGGTGTATTTAATCCATCTTAGATATGTAACTGCTTGACATGTCTCCATTATTCCCTTTGTCTCATTTCTGTTTGGGAGTAAGTGCCAGGGAAGCATAATAGTCTCTGTCTGGCTCTGACAATAGCCATTATAAATGGGATGGAGGGAGGAAGGGAGAGAATACTAAAGTCTAGATAGAGAGAAAGACGGGAACAACAAACCATTTTTCTTCATGTGTCATATGAAAGCCCATTTATTTTCTCTTTGTATACGTCAAAAGAGACATGGGGACCTTCCAAAATCCATCTGCAACTTTTCAGCAGGTGTTGGCTTCTATTGTAGTGCAACACTTGGGCCAATTGTTGTCATATTTATTATTTTATCAGCTAATAGAATTCCAATTATTTATTATTGTGGATGCTGGGCACAGGATGAATTATGCGACAATACTGACAGAGCAACCTAAGCATTTTATATATTCTGGCTAGATATTGTGCATTTGGAGAGGTCCTAGAACTTTCAAAGAACTTTATGAAAAAGTAATGAGAAAAAGATGATGGTCATTTTCTTCTCCAGGGGCACGAACTGGGACATGGTCGGCTTGGTTTAAAGACTGAAGGAGAGGGGAGTGAACTGGGACATGGTCGGCTTGGTTTAAAGACTGAAGGAGAGGGGAGTGAACTGGGACATGGTCGGCTTGGTTTAAAGACTGAAGGAAAAGGGAGTGAACTGGGACATGGTCGGCTTGGTTTAAAGACTGAAGAAGAGGGGAGTGAACTGGGACATGGTCGGCTTGGTTTAAAGACTGAAAGAGAGGGGAGTGAACTGGGACATGGTCGGCTTGGTTTAAAGACTGAAGGAGAGGGGAGTGAACTGGGACATGGTCGGCTTGGTTTAAAGACTGAAGGAGAGGGGCGCAAACTGGGACATGGTCGGCTTGGTTTAAAGACTGAAGGAGAGGGGAGCGAACTGGGACATGGTCGGCTTGGTTTAAAGACTGAAGGAGTGGGGAGTGAACTGGGACATGGTCGGCTTGGTTTAAAGACTGAAGGAGTGGGGCGCGAACTGGGACATGGTCGGCTTGGTTTAAAGACTGAAGGAGAGGGGAGTGAACTGGGACATGGTCTGCTTGGTCTAAAGACTGAAGGAGAGGGGAGTGAACTGGGACATGGTCGGCTTGGTTTAAAGACTGGAGAGGGGAGTGAACTGGGACATGGTCGGCTTGGTTTAAAGACTGAAGGAGTGGGGCGCGAACTGGGACATGGTCGGCTTGGTTTAAAGACTGAAGGAGAGGGGAGTGAACTGGGACATGGTCTGCTTGGTCTAAAGACTGAAGGAGAGGGGAGTGAACTGGGACATGGTCGGCTTGGTTTAAAGACTGGAGAGGGGAGTGAACTGGGACATGGTCGGCTTGGTTTAAAGACTGAAGGAGAGGGGGTGACATCACTCTTTATCCCCTTCACTTTTGGAAGAAGGGGGGAGGAAGTAGGTGAGAGGTTGAGGGGTATGGAGGAGGGGGATTTATTTGGTGAAGTGAATTCCATCTGCAGATGGAGAGAAAGTAGAACGGTGGGCAAACTCATATTTTGGAGTGGCATAAGAGATTTTAGAAGACAGGAGGGTGTGAAAATGAAATGTTTTAGTAGATTTAAGTTTGTTTCATATTTGTTTGGGTTAACGTTGTGTGCCCACGTTTTTTTCTCTCACGCTGGTTTGGTTGTGAGCAATTACAGACTGGCAGGGAAACATGAGGGTGGACCTACATGCCATCACGCTGTCCCTCCCCCTCACCCCATCTCGCCACCAAACTCTGTTACTGTATGCATCTATTCTCTTGCTCGCTCTCTCTCTCTTTCTCTTTTTTCTCTCTCTCTTTTCTCTCCTCTCTCTAGCTCCATCTCTGTCAGTGGACACAGCATGACTGAGAGTAACCTCAGTGTCTGTTTCTGTTTAGCCAATCATGATTACTTCCGAGTCCCTCTCCCATATACACCCCAGCCATTCATTCTCTTCTCAGTCCCCCCTGTCTGTCTGCTGAGTCTGAGGGCCAGGGTGCTTCGGCTGGGCTTTTTAAAATGATCAAAACGGGATGTTGCAGTATTTAGTTTTAGTGGCTACATTTGTTTGTTATAATTTTGTTGTATTCATTTTGTGCTGTATAGGATTTCAGTCACTTGAATTCTTATTTGTACCATAAAGATTGACCTCTCTCAGCCCCTCTTGTCCCTGAAACTGACATGTAGAATACTATTGTATAGGGGAGATGAGCTACTCTTTCCTGCATACAGCAGATGCTTTATGTTCTGTTTCTAAAGTACAATAGCACCTATGTGGACATCTTTTCACAAGTTTGTTAAGAATTCCTGGATGTAATTGCTTCCCCTTTCACTGTTACTCTCTCATTACATTTCTCTCATTCATTCAGGCAAATACACTCATATTCTCTCTCTTTTCCCTTTTTCTCTCTCAGCTATGCATTTTCAGGAGTGGTTACAGTCCCTTCACTCCAGTGGGGGGGTTCGAGGACCTGAGAGGGAGGACTTCTGGAGCCTTCTCCCCTCTTTCCCTTCGTCGTCCTCTTTCTCCCTCTCCTCCCTCTCTCTGTCCCCCTCCTCTCTGCTGGGTATAGGGGCTCTGGCCTCCCTCACTGCATACTGGCTGGTGACCCGCCCTCGGCCCATGCGTCCCCCCTGTGATCTGAATGCCCAGTCTATCGCTGTACAGGTGAGAGCATTATGTTCTGGAAGCTTTAAGGAGCAGATGAGTGAGAGATTAGTAAGAGTTATATTTATTCAGAACAGTCAAGTGCTTGTTTGTGTGAGGGATAGTAGTTGTATTCATCATAGTGTTTTGGATTGCAGTTATAATAACTAATTAACATTGATTACATCCCAAGCCCTGTTTATACCTGTCCTTTGTCCACATTCTGATTGTGCTGACATTTTTAGACAGGTGTAGATGATTAAAAGACGCATTGTGATCTGATTGTGATCAGATCTTCCTGACCACCTCCGGAGGTAGTCATACACCATTGTGTCTGGATATCTTACAAGTGTAGATTGATCTGGACAGTGAAACCATTTAAATAATCTTTATCCCACCCTCTAAAATCATTGACAGGTGACACATCAATATGTGTCTTAAAATAATTAAATACATATTATTTTGAAAGCATCTGTCAAATAATTTGCATACAGGGAGGGACCAGGATATGCGGTCACGATGGATGGATAAGAGACACATTTTACTCCCATGTGTAGGTGCAATGGCCACAATGTGGGCACAATCAGAATATAGATAAGATTTAAATTTTTTAAATTTTAGTCATTTAGCAGACGCTCTTATCCAGAGCGACTTACAGTTAGTGAGTGCATGCATTTGTTTTCATACTGGTCCCCCGTGGGAAACGAAACCCACAACCCTGGCGTTGCAAACGCCATGCTCTACCAACTGAGCTACACGACAAAGGACACATGTTAGCCCTAGGTATAAACAAGGCTCTAGAGCTGAATAGGGGGAGTTTTTATGGAGTGTATGTGTTGCAGGGAGAGCCCAATTGGAGGCGTTCAGCTTTGCTCAAGGACGATGCCCTGTTGGAGTTCTACTATAATGACACCAGGACAGCCTATGACATGTTCCAGAGAGGATTGAGGGTGGCAGGTGAGCTGGCCGGACACAGTGGACTAACAGGCTAGTTAGGAGCAGACATGGGCTATTTACCAGACATGCCAGAGTGTACCTGACGAGATTGTGTTGGTGCACAGGGAACGGCCCATGCCTTGGCTTCAGGAAACCTGGGGAACCTTACCAGTGGATCTCCTACACTGAGGTCTGTGGATCTTTGGTCATTATTACTATGTACAATGAGAATACAAGGATATAATAAGTATACAAGCATACACATATGCTCAAGCTCTATTCAAGGATTGTATTATTGTTTCTGTCTGATTGTCCTCTGTTTTAGGTGGCTGAACAGGCACAGGTGCTGGGCTCTGGGCTTTTGGGCAAAGGCTGCCAACCAAACCCTGAGCAGTATGTTGGAATATTTGCTCAGAACAGACCAGAGGTACAGAAGGCTACACATTCCTTCCCTGCTATTCTATGTAGTGAAATGCCATGATGTTTAACCCTAAGGCTTCTCTGTATGTTAGAGCACTGTCCCTGTAGAGACTCCAGCAATGTAGTGACCAAGCATCAGTTAGGAAGGAGTCTGGGATTTGTCGTTCTAATAGTGTTGCTCTGTCTCCCTCTGTTGGTGGCAGTGGATCATTTCAGAGCTGGCCTGCTACACCTTCTCTATGGCCGTGGTGCCCCTGTACGACACACTCGGAGAGGAGGCCATGGTGCATATCCTCAACCTGGGTAAGGCTGGAATACTCTGCTACAAGATGTATGGGGAAATGTATAATAACCAGTACACTCCCATACCACTGGCCTATAACTATTCATGTCGATTCTCGCTGTTTCACCTCCTAGCGGAGATCTCACTGGTGATCTGTGACAAGGAGGAGAAGGCAGAGTCCCTTCTGGGGAATAAGGAGAAAGGTGCGACACCCACTCTCTCCTGTCTGGTACTCTTTAATGCCTGCAGTGATGCCATAGTGGAGAGGGGGAAGAACTGTGGAGTGGAGATTCTAGAACTCAAACAGCTGATGGTGAGAAGAGGGTAGCTGCAGACAATGTAAAGATGATGAATTGCTAGAATAGATGCCTGCTTCTTTAGTTGTGATATTGGATCAACATGACAAACACAAGAGAGAAGTCCCTTTCACTGGGGTTAGAAGACATCTTGATTACCACAGACTATCACAGTGTGACATGACCCTGCATATTGCAGGTACTTGGACGACAGAACCTCAAAGATCCTGTGGTGAGTTTTCCTCTGTTGAATGTTGATAAGGTTTCATTGACAGTTTTTGTTGCTTCACTGCTGTTTTCGATCCTGCTGTCGTTCATCTGTGTCTATTTGTTGCAGCCACCGAAACCCCAGGACCTGGCAGTCGTGTGCTTCACCAGTGGAACCACAGGTACCATTTGTTTTTATAGATCTCTGTGAGTCCTCAAGTAGCCTACCCCCACTACCCTGCATGTTAATCATATACTAAAGCATTTACCCACACTACTAGAGATGTGCCCATGGGGGCCCACTGACAACCTCTCATTATGTTATGAGATGAATTCTTGTGGTACACAGAGCAGTGCAGTAATGCCCTCCTCCAAACTAAACTGCGTTCTGTTTATTTGGCCAGGAAAGCCGAAGGGAGCCATGATCACCCACGGCAACATCGCCTCCAACTCCTCCTCTGTTATTAAGATCCTGGAGGTCTGTTCTGGCTCCCTCCGTCTGAAATCCAGAAAGAGTTTCATGGCTAGCTCCATTTTCTCTCTATTTATCTTACTCCATCTCTCGTTCCATCTCTCTCAATCTGTTCCTTTGATAAATGGGATGTTTAATAGAAATAGTTTACCCATTATTGTCCTTGTAAAAGATACACTGCACATCTAATTGCTGTTGTAAAATCTAGATTGCATATTAAATTGGTTGTATGCCATCTCTATTATCCATTGTGTAACTGTTTTATGCATCAATTCCTTCTCTCCATTTCACAGGGGTCATTTTTTATTCGTCAAGAAGACGTGTCAATCTCTTACTTGCCTCTTGCCCACATGTTTGAGAGGATGATTCAGGTAGCTCACTCTCTTTTGATTACAATAATACATGTATGTGTCTGTCTTGGGGACTCTGCATGTCAGACAGTTCTTTAAATGCTCCTATGTCTGTCTCAGGTGTCCATGTTCTGTCATGGGGCCAGGGTAGGATTCTACCAGGGGGATATCTCCCTGCTCATGGACGATATAAAGACTCTGAAACCCACTTTCTTCCCAGTGGTGCCTCGCCTACTCAACCGCATCTACGACAAGGTCAGTCCAAATCCTATGATACCAACCATAACATTTAAAAAAAATGTAGCCTTACTTTTATTTGCTATGCTCTCTTCTGTGTGTGCATGCATGTCTATGTGTAGATCTTAGGCTCTGTGACGTCCCCATTGCGCCGGGCAGTGCTGCACTATGCAGTGAGGAGGAAGCAGGCTGAGCTCAGCAGTGGGGTGGTACGTAACAACAGTCTGTGGGACAGGCTGGTATTCAACAGGATTCAGGTCAGTTACTGAACACATTGAACGTGGCCCAACGTCTGCCCTTTCAGAAAACTCTATTTGTTAGACGTAATGGAATTCTATTTGTTTTCCATGTGTTTCAGGCTAATTTAGGAGGTAATCTGAGGTTCATCCTGACCGCCTCGGCCCCCATCTCCCCCACCGTGCTCTCCTTCCTCAGGGCCACCCTCGGCTGTCTGGTGAGAATGACTGCCTGGAGCTCAGACTAAGTGTGTGTGTTTATGTGTTTATTTCTGATGGGAGTGTGGGAGTGTGAGGTTTAATGATGTGGAATGTTCCTGCTGCTCTGTGCAGATCTTCGAGGGTTACGGGCAGACTGAATGCACAGCAGGCTGCACCTTCTCCATGCCAGGAGACTGGAGTGCAGGTAAGGGGTTGACTCTCTGACAATGGGAAACTATCCACGTCATATCTGGAGACAACTAGTCATTGATCCCAGTGTCTGCGTGTTGGTTATACTCTGAAACTCTGTGTGTGTGTGTGTGTGTGTGTGTGTGTGTGTGTGTCTCAGGCCATGTTGGCGCTCCCCTGCCCTGTGCAATGGTGAAGTTGGTTGACATCCCTGATATGAACTATTATGCCAAGAACGGAGAAGGAGAGGTGAGGTGGTTAAAAAGCATCATGGTATTACTGTGTTTTCTACAACATAGTGAGTCAGAGATAGTTACCCAGAAAAAATGTATCCCTCTGGCTGTTGTGTATCGTATGTTGTTGTTATATTAATAATATAATAATATAATATTATATTATATTAACCCATTTAATCCCACCGGTCACAATAGTGAGATTTTTTTGGGGGGGACTTTACAGGCTCTAGAGAAGTTAAAGTTGTATTTATCAACAAATAAGTAATATATTATGCATTATAAAGGTGTCTAGTATGATTCAGAGAAGTTTTGTATGATTTCTCAAAATGGTCACAAGTCCACAAGTCCACAAGCATACATCATCAAGGCGCACTTTTACAGACGAATTTGGCACCAGAATTCTGTATTCAACAGATACATTGTTGAAATGTTTTTATATTTTCTTTGTAAATGTAATGTTTAAAGGGTCTAGTTTGCATACAGTATATGCCTTCATTTTCAATACAGTCAATCCATGATGACATATAAAAATATCTTAGCGGTCACATTTGTGACCAATGCGAAAATACATTTACTCTAACTTTATATACAGTGAATTCAGTAAGTATTCAGACCCCTTAACTTTTTCCACAATTTGTTACGTTACAGCCTTATTCTAGAATGGATTAAATAGTTTTTTCCTCCTCATCAAACTACACACAATACCCCATAATGGCAAAGCATGAAATATCACATTTGCATAAGCATTCAGACCCTTTACTCAGTACTTTGTTGAAGCACCTTTGGCAGCGATTACAGCCTCGAGTCTTCTTGGCTATGACGCTACAAGCTTGGCACACCTGGATTTGGGGAGTTTCTCCCATTCTTCTCTGCAGATCCTCTCAAGCTCTGTCAGGTTGGATGGGGAGCGTTGCTGCACAGCTATTTTCAGGTCTCTCCAGAGATGTTCGATTGGGTTCAAGTCCGGGCTCTGGCTGGGCCACTCAGAGACTTGTCCCGAAGCCACTACTGCGTTGTCTTGGCTGTGCGCTTAGGGTCGTTGTCCTGTTGGAAGGTGAACCTTCGCCGCAGTCTGAGGTCCTGAGCGCTCTGGAGCAGGTTTTCATCAACGATACTTTGCTCCGTTCATCTTTCCCTCGATCCTGACTAGTCTCCCAGTCCCTGCCACTGAAAAACATCCCCACAGCATGATGCTGCCACCACCATGCTTCACCGTAGGCATGGTGCCAGGTTTCCTCCAGATGTGACGCTTGGCATTCAGGCCAAAGAGTGCAATCTTGGTTTCATGAGACCAGAGAATCCTGTTTCTCATGGTCTGAGAGTCCTTTAGGTGCCTTTTGGCAAACTCCAAGCGGGCTGTCATGTTCCTTTTACTGAGAAGTGGCTTCCGTCTGGCCACTCTACCATAAAGGCCTGATTGGTGGAGTGCTGCAGAGATGGTTGTCCTTCTAGAAGGTTCTCCCATCTCCACAGAGGAACTCTGGAGCTCTGTCAGAGTGACCATCAGGTTCTTGGTCATCTCCCTGACCAAGGCCCTTCTCCCCCGGTTGCTCAGTTTAGCTGGGCGGCCAGCTCTAGGAAGAGTCTTGGTGGTTCCAAACTTCTTCCATTTAAGAATGATGGAGGCCACTGTGTTCTTGGGGACCTTCAATGCTGTAGACATTTTTTGGTACCCTTCCCCAGATCTGTGCCTCGACACAATCCTGTCTTGGAGCTCTACGGACAATTCCTACGACCTCATGGCTTGGTTTTTGCACTGACATGCACTGTCAAGTGTGGGACCTTATATAGACAGGTGTGTGCCTTTCCAAATCATGTCCAATCAATTTAATTTACCACACGTGGACTCCAATCAAGTTGTAGAAACATCTCAAGGATGATCAATGGAAACAGGATGCACCTGAGCTCAATTTCGAGTCTCATAGCAAAGGGTCTGAATACTTATGTAAATAAGGTATATCTGTTTGTAATTTTTTATACATTTGCAAAAAAAATTCTAAAACCTGTTTTTGCTTTGTCATTCTGCGGTATTTTCTGTAGATTGATGAGGGAAAAAAAGTATTTCATAAATTTTAGAATAAGGCTGTAACGTAACAAAAAAAAAGTGTTAAACAAATCAAAATATTTTTGAGATTTGAGATTCTTCAAATAGCCACCCTTTGCACATTCTTGGCATTCTCTTAACCAGCTTCATGAGGTAGTCACCTGGAATGCATTTAAATTAACAGGTGTGCCTTGTTAAAAGTTAATTTGTGGAATGTCTTTCCTTCTTAATGCGTTTGAGCCAATCAGTTGTGTTGTGACAAGGTAGGGGGGAGGTATACAGAAGATAGCCCTATTTGGTAAAAGACCAAGTCCATATTATGGCAAGAACACCTCAAATAAGCAAAGAGAAACGACAGTCCATCATTACTTTAAGACATGAAGGTCAATCAATACGGAACATTTCAAGAACTTTGAAAGTTTCTTCAAGTGCAGTCGCAAAAACCATCAAGCACTATGATGAAACTGGCTCTCATGAGGACCGCCACAGGAATGGAAGACCCAGAGTTACCTCTGCTGTAGAGGATAAGTTAATTAGAGTTACAAGCCTCAGAAATTGCAGCCCAAATAAATGCTTCACAGAGTTCAAGTCACAGACACATCTCAACATCAACTATTCAGAGGGGACTGTGTGAATCAGGCCTTCATGGTCGAATTTCTGCAAAGAAACCACTACTAAAGGACACCAATCAGAAGAAGAGACCTGCTTGGGCCAAGAAACACGAGCAATGGACATTAGACCAGTGGAAATTTGTCCTTTGGTCTGGAGTCCAAATTTGAGATTTTTGGTTCCAACCGCCGTGTCTTGGTGAGATGCGGTGTGGGTGAACGGATGATGTGTAGTTCCCACCATAAAGCATGGAGGATGAGGTGTTATGGTGTGGGGGTGCTTTTCTGGTGACACTGTCTGTGATATATTTAGAATTCAAGGCACACTTAACCAGCATGGCTACCACAGCATTCTGCAGCGATACGCCATCCCATCTGGTTTGAGCTTAGTGGGATTATCATTTGTTTTTCAACAGGATAATGACCCAACACACCTCCAGGCTGTGTAAGGGCCATTTTACCAAGAAGGAGTGATGGATTGGTGCATCAGATGACCTGGCCTCCACAATCCCCCGACGTCAACCCAATTGAGATGGTTTGGGATGAGTCGGACGGCAGAGTGAAGGAAAAGCAGCCAACAAGTGCTCAGCATATGTGGGAACTCCTTCAAGACTGTTGGAAAAGCATTCCAGGTGAAGCTGGTTGAGAGAATGCCAAGAGTGTTTAAAGCTGTCATCAAGGCAAAGGGTGGCTATTTGAATCTCAAATATAAAATATATTTTGATTTGTTTAACAGTTTGTTGATTACTACATGATTCTATATGTGTTATTTCATAGTTGTGATGTCTTCGCTATAATTCTACAATGTAGAAAATAATAAAAATAAAGAAAAACCCTTGAATGAGTAGGTATGTCCAAACTTTTGACTGGTACTGTATATAAATATATGAATCATAGCAGATTATTTCCTTTTTCAGTAGATTGAAGTTGAGTTGAGTTATGGATATACTTGATCATGATGATCTTACCATTATACATTAGCCTTTACATATTTTTTAATCAGTGATTTTGACTGTAAGAAGTAATATTTGTCAAGGGCTGATGTAAATGTGGTGTGGGAGTCAGGCGCAGGACACTGAAGCTTAGTCCAACAGACTTTACTAGTAAACACTAGGCAAAAATACAAACAACGGCCTCAACACAAAACAGAGGCGAGCGATTACGCAAACTGTGCGTAAACTACAAAACAAAAAACAGAGAGCAGCACCAACGGACAGGCGTACAATAACACACAAACTAACCAACACAAAGCAGGCAACTTATAGGACACATAATCAGACACAAACGGACACAGGTGCAATAGACAGACAAAACCAATCTAACATCGAAACATCTAACGGTGGTAGCTAGTACTCCGGGGACGGCGAATGCCGAAGCCTGCCCGAGCAAGGAGGAGGAGCAGCCTCGGCAGAATCCGTGACAGCCGTGCGCCGACCCCGGCGACGACCAGGAGGACGCGGAGCCGGGCGCGTGGGATGACCACGGTGGAACTCAGTCAGGAGAGATGGATCTAGGATATCCCTCCTAGGCACCCAGCACCGTTCCTCCAGACCGTACCCCTCCCACTCCACGAGATACTGGAGACCCCCCATCCGACGTCTCGAGTCCAAGATGGTCCTGACCGTGTACGCCGGAGCTCCCTCGATGTCCAGTGGGGGCGGAGGGGTCTCTCCTATCTCACCTTCCTGGAGTGGACCAGCTACCACCGGCCTGAGAAGAGACACATGGAACGAGGGGTTAATATTCTTATAATCAATAGGCAGTTGTAACCTGTAACACACCTCGTTCAATCTCCTCAGGACTTTAAAAGGCCCCACAAACCGCCGACCCAGCTTCCGGCAGGGCAGGCGGAGGGGCAGGTTTCGAGTCGAGAGCCAGACTCGATCTCCCGGTGCGTACACCGGACCCTCACTGCGGTGGCGATCGGCGCTCGCCTTCTGTCGACGGATAGCCCGCTGCAGATGGACATGAGCAGCGTTCCACGTCTCCTCCGAGCGCCGAATCCACTCATCCACCGCAGGAGCCTCGATCTGGCTCTCGTGCCATGGTGCCAGAACCGGCTGATACCCTAACACACACTGGAAAGGGGTTAGATTGGTGGAGGAGTGGCGGAGAGAGTTCTGTGCCATCTCTGCCCAGGGGATATACCTTGACCACTCCTCCGGCCGGCCCTGGCAATAGGACCTCAGAAACCTACCCACATCCTGGTTGACTCATTCTACCTGCCCATTGCTCTCTGGGTGGTAACCCGAGGTAAGGCTCACCGAGACCCTCAAGCGTTCCATGAACGCCCCCCAGACTCTGGAGGTGAACTGGGGACCTCGGTCAGACACTATATCCTCGGGAACCCCATAGTGCCGGAAAACGTGGGTAAATAGGGCCTCAGCGGTCTGTAGGACAGTAGGGAGACCCGGCATTGGGAGGAGACGACAGGCCTTGGAAAACCGATCCACAACGACCAAAATGGTGGTATTCCCCTGGGAGGGGGGAAGGTCGGTTACAAAATCCACCGAGAGGTGGGACCATGGTCGTTGTGGAACGGGCAGGGGATGTAACTTTCCCCTGGGTAGGTGTCTAGGCGCCTTACACTGGGCGCACACCGAGCAGGAGGAGACATAAACCCTCACATCCCTAGCTAACGTTGGCCACCAGTATTTCACGCTAAGGCAGTGCACTGTCCGGCCAATACCTGGATGTCCAGAGGAGGGTGATGTATGAGCCCAATAAATAAGGCGATCACGAACCTCGAGCGGAACGTACGTCCGCCCCACAGGACACTCTGGGGGAGTAGGGTCGGTACGCAATGCCCGCTCGATCTCCGCATCGACCTCCCACACCACCGGAGCCACCAGACAAGACTCCGGCAGTATGGGAGTAGGCTCAATGGACCTCTCCTCTGTGTCATACCGCCGGGACAGGGCGTCTGCCTTACCGTTCTGGGACCCTGGGATGTATGTGATCTTAAAAACAAACCGGGTCAGGAACATGTTCCACCTAGCCTGACGAGGGTTTAATCTCCTAGCTGCCCGGATGTACTCCAGGTTACGGTGGTCAGTCTGAATGAGGAAAGGGTGTTGAGCCCCCTCAAGCCAATGCCTCCACACCTTTAGGGCCTGAACCACAGCTAACAGCTCCCTGTCCCCTACGTCATAATTACGCTCCGCCGGGCTGAGCTTCTTAGAATAGAACGCACAGGGGCGGAGTTTAGGTGGCGTGCCGGACCGTTGCGACAGAACTGCCCCAATACCGGCCTCGGACGCGTCTACCTCAACTTGGAATGGTAAAGCGGGGTCCGGATGCGCCAGCACCGGAGCCGAAGTGAACAGGTTCTTCAGTTTAAAAAAATGCCCTGTCCGCTTCAGCTGACCACTGCAAACGCACCGGGCCCCCCTTTAGCAGGGACGTAATGGGAGCTGCCACCTGTCCAAAGCCCCGGATAAACCTCCGGTAGTAATTAGCAAAACCCAAAAACTGCTGCACCTCTTTTACAGTGGTTGGAGTTTGCCAATTACGCACGGCCGACACACGGTCAATCTCTATCTTCACACCAGACGCGGACAATCGATAACCCAAAAAGGAGATGGACTCCTGGAAAAACAAGCATTTCTCTGCCTTGACATACAAGTCATGCTCCAACAGCCTCCTCAACACTCGGCGCACCAGGGCTACATGCTCGGCTCGTGTAGAAGAGTACACTAGGATGTCGTCGATGTATACTACCACACCCTGCCCATGCATGTCCCGGAAAATCTCGTCCGCAAAGGATTGGAAGACTGAAGGAGCATTCATTAACCCGTATGGCATGACGAGATACTCGTAATGACCCGAGGTGGTGCTAAATGCTGTTTTCCATTCATCCCCCTCCCTAATGCGCACCAAATTGTACGCGCTCCTGAGATCCAACTTTGTGAAGAACCGCGCTCCGCGTAATGACTCAGTCATAGTCGCAATCAGAGGAAGAGGATAACTGTACTTAACCGTGATCTGATTGAGACTACGGTAATCAATACACGGGCGCAAACCCCCGTCCTTCTTCTTCACAAAGAAGAAACTCGAGGAAACCGGGGAAGTGGAGGACCGTATGTATTCCTGTTCCAAGGACTCGGCTATGTAAGTCTCCATAGCCGCTGTCTCCTCTTGAGACAGGGGATACACACGGCTCCGCGGAAGTGCCGCTCCTGTTTGGAGATCTATCGCACAATCCCCCTGTCTATGAGGTGGCAGCCGTGTTGCCCTAGTCTTGCTGAACACAAGTGCTAAATCCTCATATTCAGGGGGAATGCGCATTGCGGGCACTTGGTTCGGACTCTCCACCGAGGTCGCCCCTAAGGAAACACCTAGACATCTCCCTACACACTGGGCAGACCACTCCATAAGAGCCCTCTGTTGCCACGCAATGGTAGGATCATGGGCGCTTAACCAGGGAAGCCCCAGCACCACGGGATACGCAGGGGAGTCGATCAGATAAAACTGAATGATCTCCTCATGACCCCCCTGCGTAGTCATCTTAAGTGGTGCTGTGACTTCTCTAATCAACCCCGACCCCAGCGGCCGGCTGTCTAGGGCATGAACAGGGAAGGGGGCTTCCACCGGCCGAAGGGGAATTCCTAACCTAGAACAAAATTCACGATCAACAAAATTCCCAGCTGCGCCTGAATCTACTAGTGCCTTATGCTGGGAATGAGGTGCCACCTGTGGAAATCTCACAGGTATACACAGGTGACCAACAGAGAGCTCTGGGTAAGTGGGGCGCCTACTCACCTGAAATGACTCCCCAGTGCGTGACCTGTTGTCCCCTCTCCCAGGAGACCCTCCCCAGCACCTAGCCGCAGTGTGCCCTCCACGGCCACAGTTGGTGCAGGGGACGGCCCCCCTCGGGTTCTCTCTCCTCCTCTCCCTAGCGCCAGCACCCCCGAGCTCCATGGGAATCGGCTCGGAGGTGCTGGAGGGCGGAATGGACGACCCCCATTCGGGACGTCCGCGGGTAGCCAGCAGGGTGTCGAGACGGATGGAAATGTCCACCAACTGGTCGAAGGATAGGTTGGTGTCCCTGCAGGCCAGCTCACGACGAACGTCCTCTCGTAGGCTGCACCGATAATGGTCGATGAGGGCCCTCTCATTCCACCCCGCATCCGCCGCTAAAGTCCGGAACTCCAGGGCGAACTCCTGTGCACTCCTCTTCCCCTGTCGGAGGTGGAACAGACGCTCCCCCGCCGCCTTCCCCTCAGGTGGATGATCGAACACAGCCCTGAAGCGGCGGGAGAACTCCGCGTAGGTGATGGTGGCGGCGTCTATTCCCCTCCATTCGGCGTTGGCCCACTCCAACGCCTTGCCGGATAGACAGGAGATGAGGGCGGAGACAGAGTGTTGGACACCTCGTTCATGGCGGCCCCAAGTTGCCGGATCATGGTGTCTTGATCGCTGATTCGATCCTCCAGCAACTTGGGTGCCGCCGCTGCTCCTGCTGACTCCATAGTGGTGTGTTATTCTGTCAAGGGCTGATGTAAATGTGGTGTGGGAGTCAGGCGCAGGACACTGAAGCTTAGTCCAACAGACTTTACTAGTAAACACTAGGCAAAAATACAAACAACGGCCTCAACACAAAACAGAGGCGAGCGATTACGCAAACTGTGCGTAAACTACAAAACAAAAAACAGAGAGCAGCACCAACGGACAGGCGTACAATAACACACAAACTAACCAACACAAAGCAGGCAACTTATAGGACACATAATCAGACACAAACGGACACAGGTGCAATAGACAGACAAAACCAATCTAACATCGAAACATCTAACGGTGGTAGCTAGTACTCCGGGGACGGCGAACGCCGAAGCCTGCCCGAGCAAGGAGGAGGAGCAGCCTCGGCAGAATCCGTGACAATATTTTGTTATTTCAGGTGGAATTGGCCATATATAGACCCATAAACTGAATTAGTATAATAACTTAACACATATTGAATGTCAATAGGTTTGTTTAGTGTCTCTTGCACAATGGTAGACCTTGTTTATGTGAGTTGCGCTGATTAGACACAAGGGTAGACCTGCTTTATCAGAGTATTGGGACATAGCCATAGGTGTAAACCTGGTTTCCAAATCTAGATTGGATTAGACATGCAGGTGTACACCTGGTCTGTAAGAATATTAGTGTAGACCTGGATTTTATGAATGTTGAGGCTTGGACACTGGGGTAGACCTGTTTTATATGAGTGTGCCCATGGGTTTACCTGGTTTATATGAGTATGCCCATGGGTTTACCTGGTTTATATGAGTAATGGTGTGTAAGGATACACAAGGCTCCTACAGGTAATGGGTCTGGATGGACGTCTATTGCCCATTCAAATCCTTTCTGGCAACAAGTTTGTGGTAGGAAAAAAGTGAATGGGTCTGTGGTACATGTGTTATACCACTATGCAATGAGTTTATGAAATGATTAGCATATACAGGTCAGAGGTCACAGGACTAAGATAAGCAAATAACAGGGTTTGGGTGTGCAGCGAATAGCTGGATATAGGTTATTGTTGGTGACTTGGGGAATGCATGCCTAAGGAAAGTGGTTAACAGGGCTGAGATAGGCAAGTAACAGGGATGAGGTGTATTGGCAAAGGAACTGGGGTCTATGAGTAACAAATAGGGCATTTAGGGCTAGGATATGGGTGTATCGGTACTTGATTGTGTCAATATAAGGATATTGGCATGTGGGTGAGGATATGGGGGTAACAGGGCTGAGGTATATAGATATTGGGGCTGAGGAATAGGGGTAAATGTCTGTTAATGTTATAATAGGCAGAGTACCGTATGTTCCCATCGGTCACAATTGTGGCCGAGAATAAAACATACTTTTCAATATATATACTATATATATATATAAAAATATATATATTTATTTATTTATAATAAAAAATAAAATAAAAGCAAATGGATTACATGTTAGGGTTAGTAATGGCATTATATTTGCAGAGTGACATGTCTGTGAAAAATGTGGGAACAAATGGATTAACACTGTTCCTACCTTTCTGCTTTGTTAGATCTGTATCCGTGGCCACAGTGTGTTCCGAGGGTACCTGAAGGATGAGGAGAAAACAGCAGAGGCCCTGGATAGTGATGGCTGGCTGCACAGTGGAGACGTGGGCCAGTGGCTACTGGTGAGCTGGGTTACAATATAGGACAAAATATGATCACTAGATACTCCAGTCAGTCAAGTCATATACATTTGTATGTGAATGTGTGTCCATATGTTTTCCTGTTAGAACGGGACACTTCGCATCATAGACAGGAAGAAGCACATCTTCAAGCTGTCCCAGGGAGAGTACATTGCCCCTGAAAGGATTGAGAACGTCTACATGCGTTGTGTCCCTGTGCTACAGGTGTTTGTGCATGGTGACAGCCTAAAGGTATTTGAGATACCGGTACTCTTATATTCACTATCAGAGGATAGTCCTTTTTTGGGACATACCATCATTCTCACAAACACTGTTTTATGTTCTGTTTCCAGTCTCACCTGATTGGTATTGTTGTGCCAGACCCAGAAGTGTTTAATGACTGGGTTAAGGAGAGGGGAATAATAGGATCCTACAAGGAGCTCTGCCAGCATCCAGTATGTGACGTCACCGTAGCTCACACAATAGGCCATCTGCATCTTTACAATGTGTGCTGTTGTTGGATTGTATCAACTCCAAAGGGACTGATTGAAATCTTGTCTCACTACAGGATGTGAAGAAAGCAGTGTTAGAAGACATGACAGCCGTAGGGAAGGAAGCTGGGCTGAAGTCTTTTGAGCAGGTGAGGAATCTTGAACATGAATACATTGACTTCATACTTGTAACAAATGGTGCCATGGTATATGAAGATATAAAACATGGTGTAACAGGAAACTGAATACAACATAAAGACATCAACACTGATAGTTTTGCCATCTCTTTCCTCTCTGTCAGGTGAAGGACCTGCACCTGCATCCAGAGATGTTCAGTGTTAGCAACGGCCTCCTCACCCCCACTCTGAAGAGCAGACGAGTGGACATCCGCAGGGTCTTCCAGGAACAGATCACAAACATGTACAGCACAACAGCCATCTTGTAGATCTCTATCCAATGTAACACACTCACACACACTCCACTGTCATTTACATGAACTGTTTGTTTCCTGTCACTAGACAGAGATATGCAGTTTGCTGGATCTCATGGTCTATAGTACTAAAAACTGAGCATGTAGCCAAGACAATAGACATTCCTACAGTACTTAGCTCAAATACTATCAAACATGTTTGGTACGGTTTCAGGGGATTTCAGTTCGACACCACTAGCATCCATGCTGCTTCTTGTACATACTGTACATCAGTATGTTAAATGTATTTTCATTGTTTACATATCATAGACAGAGAGGAACAACATTGAATGGGACCAAACAATTTTTGCTCCAATGTTGTCTACGCAGAAAACCTAGCCATAGAAATAGCTACAGCTCCACTGTAGAGAGCAGTGGGCAAGTAGACACTAGCTGGGCCTGTTAATGGCCTCCTGGATCACACTTCCATCCTTCTGATTTATATTTTGCCATCTAAACCTCTGGAAGGCTGCTTCTTGCAGTGTATATTACTTACTTTAGTGTTCTCAGTGAAACAGTGACTGAGTTACAGTAGCTTTGAACAAGGGATATCTGCAGTGGCTCATTCCAAATCACAGACCACCGTCCTTTCTCCAAGGTTATATGAAGGGATTAAACTGAAACGTTACCCTTGATATCATTTATGTAGTTGCCATTAAATAGTCAATTTGTAAATGGGAAGTATATTTTGAGCTGTAAACATTGAGAATGTTGATGAAATATGCTGACTGGGCACTATTTTAACTAACAATTCCCAAAAATGTAGAAATATTATTGTATGTTGTTTTCCTGAATAAAGAAATCATGATGATTGTCATTATTCAGTTTCATGTAGTTGAAGTGCATGACAAGGCATATCACTGAAGGAGACACTTCTTCCAATCCATTTATTGCATGATTGTTCATAGAAAAGTACAATGAAAAAGCTTAACTGAAAACAATGTCTAAACAGAGGGTAACAGAGCTAAAAAAAAAAAAACTAACAAAATTAAAACACTCAACAGATTACATGTCAAGTTTCTCACTCAATAATAATGTTAAATAAACTAGAACCAGGCCGATGCTTCAGAAAAGGTAAAACATATTTATTTATTTTTGTCATTTAGCAGATGCTCTTATCCAGAGCGGCTTAAAGTTAGTGAGTGCATACATTTTTCATACATCTACACTAATTTAGTCAAAAATGCATTTTGTGCATAGCTGTCCACAAAGAAAAGGCAAGAGGTTTGCCTCAAAACATGACAAATTGACAATCATTGACAAAGAAAGAAGAAGCCTTTCCCATTAATAAATATCCAATAAAGAACAACGTGGATATGGTCAAATGAAGGAACGCTATAGGAACAATGAACCGTAAGTGCCACTAGAGGGAGCAACAGCGTTGGTTTTGGAAAGCAGGTCCTCTAACTTCACTTGTAAACCTTTGTGAAGAAGAACCAGGGTAAAAGGACCATCTCAGTCTAAGACAATGTCAGAATCTTCCTTAGCCTTTCAGAAGCAGGAAACGATTAGGCAACAGCCAAAGAAAAATGTTGACACTCCTTTATACAGGCACCATCACAGATATGAAGAATAACGACTTTGACTTATGATATCCATAGTCAGGAAGCTGGAGTGGCTAGTGTTAAATACTACAGGTAACTTTCAATATCATTTGTACCTCAACAAATAAGCTACCGGTCCACAATGCACAGGCTAGATCATGTGCATAAACCCTGAGAGAGAAATATAGTAAATAACACAGAAACGGAGCGATTCAAATGAATGTAGCTTTTTGTCACATTTCATCCTCTAGTCCGCTTACAGTTCTATAGTGTTCAATACAGTACTACCCAATTTGTTTCAATAAATTAATTTCCTGGTATACATAGACTTGATGAAATGCATGTTTTAGTACGTACCTTGATTTGGAAATGACTAGAAAACTCTGATTAAAACTGAGTATGCAGCTTTGAGAAGAAAGTGTGACCCACAGAGATCCTATAAATCTATAGTATTTGTAATTCTATGGCGTGACCCACAAATAAGTTCTTAGAAGAACGGTTTCATTACATGATTTAACAAATATATACATATTGGCTTATGATAATAGCACTTGGCTGATGGCTTGGTAAATGTGGCAGTTAAAATGCTTTGAGTTGCTCTCAGTGTTTCTTTAGATGTTAGGAAAGGGTCAGATGATAGAATTGAGAAAAGAGTGAAGGAGAGAGAGGAGAGGTCGGGTGATTAGTGCAAGAAAGCAATTAATGATTAGGTTATGACCAAAGCTGTCCATTTTCACAATGAGAAGGATCCTGAAAAAGAAAAATCCATTCACTGAGGTGTGAAAGGAGGCAAGGCCAGAGAGGTTTAGAGCGAGCCCTTCCCCTCCTTCGTGTTCTCTCAGTCATCAGCGACAATGGACAGAGCACGCAGCTCATTCAGCTTGGCTTCATTCTCCCTCTCCCTCTGCTCATCAGTCAGCCCTGCCTGGTCGATCTGATCCGTCAACTCACTGAAGATATTGTGCATCTCCGTGAAGTACACCACCTGAAAGAGCAAAGGAAAGAGTGGAATGGTTAGGAAAAGGGTTTTACGCTAACTAAGCAGTTGAAATTAAAATCCAAACCCTGCACAGTCCACCCCCACAATCTAGTAGCCACAGTTTACTTACAACATGCAAAGGCTCATGGTCTTACAGCCCTTCACCTCCACTAATGAAAAGCCATTCAGAAGTAAAGGAGCGAGCCCGTAGAACAACTAAAACAAACCCCAGAACTTCAGTGGGTAGGGACCCTGCCTTTTCTCTTCCAATCTCAACATGAGATAGAGTGTGTTCGCTGAAAGCTTTCTTGACACATCCCACCCCTGCTTCTTCCCCCAGTTCATGAGTCAGAATCCCAGGAGAGATACTTTGATGATTAATAGACTTTAATCACATTACAACACTCCAAAAGAGTGGGCAGAGAATGAAAGTACTGGGAAATACAACCCCTTGAAACCCACACACATTTCGATATTTATTCATGCACCAATGCATATGCTACAGTGCACTTAAGGGGGCATTTCTGATTTATTTGCAAATGCACACGTTTGTTCTGTTCTATATACAGGCTGGAATAAAAGAATAGCTGCATCTGGCAGATTATGGGCGTTGATGGGCTGTAGGCCATAACAGAACATAAATAGAGGCCATTTCAGATAGGAAAATGAAGATCTTTCCTGGGTAGACTAGGTAGAAGACTGTTAACCACATGCTACTATAAGAGCTTTGTCACAGGATGCATGCTGCTAGAGAAATTATAATATGTAGCCATTTTCAACTAATTACATCTGAACTGTGATCAAAGGATATTTAATTCAGTCCAAATGTCTTATCCACATGATGTGTGTGCCAGTGGCAGCAAAGTTATATTAACATAAGCTCTTTAGTTGGCTAACCGGAAGAGGAACCCAGTTTGAAAGGCCTCTTGTGTGTTTATAGCGAACTCTGCCACCTAGACCACATCAGTGGGCCATGAGTATTAAGTTACCGGTCTATGTGGGGGCAAAGCAGATATTTTTCATTTGAAAAGTGGCATGGTGAAAAAGCCATGGAATACATGTCAGTGATAATGCACACCAGATCACTGTCCCCGGTCCGGGGTGAACATCCTTCTTGTCATCCAGTCTCTACAATTAGCCCAGTAAGTCTACATGCACCACATATGAAAATTCAGACTTTTATTTATATTACCTCTTTTTTAACAAACGTCCAAATACACACCCTTGTCATCACCCTGGCCCTGATGACTAAATATTGATTTAGACAGCAAGCTACACCGGCTCATCTGACCTCAATTCTGACTGTTTATTTCACTAACAATATTTCAATAACATACAGTACGTGGGAGAAAAAGTAATAGAAATGTGGCATCCAATATGATCCCATCTCTATCAATCTAATATATCAATGGGCTCAGTGGATGTGCAAAATAACTAAATCATTATGACAGTAGCGTGTCAAAATAACAATTTCTTTCAGCTTGTATAAGTAGTACAGAACACCGTAACCAAGAACAAACACAGAGAATCCACACTCAGACAATGGCTCAATTATCCAGCATCCGTACAGGTTGACCGGCACATCCGATCACAGCAGAGCTGAGCAGAGCATTGCGTCCCATTCACAGCCATTTCATGGAACTAGTGGTTTTCGAGCCTCAGAACAAAGGGAGGCATTGTGAGGGTGCTCTGGGAGCCATGCAGCATGTCCGGGGGAGAGGGAGAGAGAGGGGGAGTGGGAGTCCAGACTGCGCTTGCAGGGCCAGCTGAGGGGGGCTGGCCCGGACCTGAGGTCCACTGGGCTGCTGTGCTGTGCTGACTGACCACCCAGTAGCGGCTGTACTGGAGGAGTGGCTGTGTACGCCAGCCCAGCTCTGGAGTTAGTCCCTCTGACCCAACTCTACACAACCCCCCTAATTTACTGTGCTGGGGTTAGAGAGGAGCTCTCTGAGCGAGTTTGAGTCATCAGCACTCTGCCTCCATCAGAGGGCCCTCATTACTGTTTGAAGCTGCTTCAGCAGTGAGTCAGTCTGTTTGCAGATGACTGAGTAGTATAGGCTTGCTCCAGTGTCCATAGAGGACAGAGCACTGAAACAGGGACACTAACAGTGGAAAGGCCCAAAATCTGTGCCCATTCATTTTCATCCACAACCAGTCTCTATTAAATTCAAATCTTATAGGGAATTGGATCCATGTTTCTATAATCATCATTCTAGGGAGAGATAATGACACAGTGATGTCCATTGTTACATTACAGCGCTACTATGAAGGAGATAATCCTAAATCAGCTAACAAGATCACCAGAGACCTACTGGCAGCTACCAAGTCCAGACAGACTACCTCCAGTGACAGCATCTCCTGAGCAGTGAAGATTAGGCTCCGCTGCTGTTACACCCAGGAGGGCTACATTCACTTTCAGTCTACCAGTAACAGTCATCACATACAAGCCTACCCACCTGCTCTGCTCTCATAGGAACGCAGAGGAACGTACAGAACTCTGTGTCACAGAAGACATCACTTTGTATTGATCAAAGGGCACAAATATCCTTTGAACCCCCTCTGGGCTTGCCTGGCAGTATCAATGACAACATGTCTGCTGAGTCTAATAGGCAGCTGTCTGTCTGTCAGTGTTTTTGGGGGCGGGGCGCCAGCCTGGCCTAGTGATGTGGCCACTTCTCAATCTGATTAGGCGTGTGCCAGTCTTTAACCATAAGAGGAAATGACACAGCGGGGGGTGGGGGTAGGGTGGGCGACAGTGGCGTGCGCTCGGCTCAGCTGCTGGGCTGGTTATAGCGAGGCGGGCTGGCCGGGCTCCCAGGTTAGAGAGTGGCTGGAGCAAGACGGATAGACAAACAGACCTGGGCTTCCTGGACTAATTAGGAAGGCGTTGGGCCGTCACTGGGGTTAATCACATTAAGACTGGGTGCAGGGAGACAGGGAGGATTACACGCACTCTCCACTATACTACCACTCTCTCTTGCTCTGATGCTGGTCAACAGACGGCTAGGGGCAACACTACACCCAAATCAACAATCTACTAAAATGACTAGAATAAAACCCATTGGAAACGATTTGAACTGGGATTGGACTGTTGTGAACAGGTTTTGTGTGTCAACTGAATGCTTATACCTAGGCATTATAATTCATAACTGTGCATGTATGCATTATAAAGACGGCTCACGGGAGTTAAACAAAGTAGGTCACGAGTGTGCACCCAGTCATACACTTCCTATAGCTCACCTGTGCCCGGATGAGTGCCTCAAAGCTGGGCTGAAAGTAGTCGATGCGGCTGTGGTAGAACTTGGGCATCTCGTCCAACAGCTGCTTGTTCTTGGATTCAAAGTCCTCCCTGACTGGTCTCAGCTCCTCCCTGGCCTGGACAGATTGGGGCAAACAGAAGACCGGTTGACACTTCAGCATACATACCTAGGGCTGTGGCGGTCATTAACTATGAAGAATACAAATGAACATAGCTGAATAAAATAGAAAGGATATTTTCTCCAAATGATTTGAGAGAGTGCGCACATGCAGCTATTCTGTGTTGGGCAGTTAACAAAGAAACAGGTACTCCTATATGCTTAATTTAGAGTTATTTGTGTAACTTTAGTTGTGATACAAACGTTGGGCTATATGTTATGATTTTTAATACATTCTAAGCCTGCATGACGCAACTAATGATTTGAAAAAAGTTGCATGAAAGGCATGAGATCTGCTTTGTTTCTTGCGCAGGCTGTACACACTTTATCAGTCTCTCATTCACAATTTGACAAGCACTTGGTAATGCTTCGAATTTCCCGGCGACATCCCCTTTGTGTGGCCATAATGCCCCCTAAAAAAAATCCATGCCTTTTGCGGCCAGTGGCCGTTGTGCCCTTGGGCTGAATATAATAATTATAATTCCCTTCTCCCGGCTGTCTGCTCCGAAGCACCGCTCACTTACATGGCTCTGTCAGATAGATACATTCTTACTAGCCAATGCCCGTCACGTGATCGGGTCTTTCTCACAGGCTACAAGTGAAGACAGACACATCGTGGAAACAACTGCGCACATCCTTATCCAATTCCGAGGTGCTTATTGAAGATATTGGTAAGAACAGTCCACGTACTTTTCTTCAGCCAACAAGATTAGTAGGCCTAACAAACAGCAAACGCACTAGCCTATGTCAATCTACCATCCCCCATAGTACAAAAGTTGACCTATTCTATTCTGTGCGAGAAATAAATATTCAAAACATAGTCCTGGACTGTTGTGGGATGCGATAGATCCTAAATTAATACGACCACTAGCATCAAAAAAACTTTTGTAAGCAATGTGAAAGAAGGTTTAGCTTAAAATGTTGATAAACTATGAGTCTATTTCTTCACATAATAAGAGCAGCAATGTGTACAAGGCAGTAGGCTATAAGCGTGAATGTTCCATTAGCAGGAAAACACCATTATCAAAAGTGACCGCAAATGTGATTATGCATGTAATGCTTTTATTACAAAAGGTGCATTTTTATGGTGAAAATTATCTACCCCAAACTTGAAACTCACACGCTGCGTATGTATGCCAGTTAGGCTCTACACCCGTTGTAAAGTGGATTCATGTGCTTAATTTTAAGAAGTTATTTAGTTACTTTAGTTGTAATACAAACCTTATCAAATGAGGTGTGTGGTTATTATTTGAAAAGGTCACCAGAAAAAGGCATGCACTGTTGGGCATCATTCACACGTGATAGGCTAATATTGTCACCCATCAGACTATTGTTGATTTAATCTTGTCTTTACATATACTAAATAATATATATGTGTGAAATTTGTTTTGATTTAGAATGGACCATTGTCATGCACCTGTCTCGAAACAGTGGCAGGGGGAAAAAAATCCATGTCATCTATGCACTTAAATAGCGAATGGAGGACGCTTTTCCTGTGGTTCATTTTCATGCCAGCTAGGTAGGCTATACTCCTGTTGTAAAGAGAAGCAATGTACTTAATATTAGGAAATTGAGAAATAAATATAGTATGCCTAGCCTATAGAAAGCTGATGGGATCCTCCCTCTTTTTAATAGAGGCCATCACTCTGTTTTCTCACGCAATTGCATAGCCTATAGAAATGTTGCGCAACATGATCTCATGGACTTTCATGAAGTGTTTGATTAGATTTTCGATTACATTTGCATTGATGTCAGAGTGATTAGAAGGACAATAGAGTGTGGTGTACCAGGAAGTTAGCAAGTTTGGTAGGCTACTAATGACCAGCAGCAGTTTCAGAGCTTGGAGAATTTGACTGCCATCATGACTCGTAACCGCCGGTGTGGCGGTAATACGGTCACCGTAACAGCCCTATGCATACCTCAATCACTACTGAGTCTCAACCATAACATACAGTGGGGAAAAAAAGTATTTAGTCAGCCACCAATTGTGCAAGTTCTCCCACTTAAAAAGATGAGAGGCCTGTAATTTTCATCATAGGTACACGTCAACTATGACAGACAAAATGAGGAAGAAAAATCCAGAAAATCACATTGTAGGATTTTTAATGAATTTATTTGCAAATTATGGTGGAAAATAAGTATTTGGTCACCTACAAACAAGCAAGATTTCTGGCTCTCACAGACCTGTAACTTCTTCTTTAAGAGGCTCCTCTGTCCTCCACTTGTTACCTGTATTAATGGCACCTGTTTGAACTTGTTATCAGTATAAAAGACACCGGTCCACAACCTCAAACAGTCACACTCCAAACTCCACTATGGCCAAGACCAAAGAGCTGTCAAAGGACACCAGAAACAAAATTGTAGACCTGCACCAGGCTGGGAAGACTGAATCTGCAATAGGTAAGCAGCTTGGTATGAAGAAATCAACTGTGGGAGCAATTATTAGGAAATGGAAGACATACAAGACCACTGATAATCTCCCTCGATCTGGGGCTCCACGCAAGATCTCACCCCGTGGGGTCAAAATGATCACAAGAACGGTGAGCAAAAATCCCAGAACCACACGGGGGGACCTAGTGAATGACCTGCAGAGAGCTGGGACCAAAGTAACAAAGCCTACCATCAGTAACACACTACGCCGCCAGGGACTCAAATCCTGCAGTGCCAGACGTGTCCCCCTGCTTAAGCCAGTACATGTCCAGGCCCGTCTTAAGTTTGCTAGAGTGCATTTTGATGATCCAGAAGAGGATTGGGAGAATGTGATATGGTCAAATGAAACCAAAATAAAACGTTTTGGTAAAAACTCAACTCGTCGTGTTTGGAGGACAAAGAATGCTGAGTTGCATCCAAATAACACCATACCTACTGTGAAGCATGGGGGTGGAAACATCATGCTTTGGGGCTGTTTTTCTGCAAAGGGACCAGGACGACTGATCCGTGTAAAGGAAAGAATGAATGGGGGCATGTATCGTGAGATTTTGAGTGAAAACCTCCTTCCATCAGCAAGGGCATTGAAGATGAAACGTGGCTGGGTCTTTCAGCATGACAATGATCCCAAACACACCGCCCGGGCAACGAAGGAGTGGCTTTGTAAGAAGCATTTCAAGGTCCTGGAGTGGCCTAGCCAGTCTCCAGATCTCAACCCCATAGAAAATCTTTGGAGGGAGTTGAAAGTCTGTGTTGCCCAGATACAGCACCAAAACATCACTGCTCTAGAGGAGATCTGCATGGAGGAATGGGCCAAAATACCAGCAACAGTGTGTGAAAACCTTGTGAAGACTTACAGAAAACGTTTGACCTGTGTCATTGCCAAAAAAGCGTATATAACAAAGTATTGAGAAACTTTTGTTATTGACCAAATACTTATTTTCCACCATAATTTGCAAATAAATTCATAAAAAATCCTACAATGTGATTTTCTGAAAAAAAAATCTCATTTTGTCTGTCATAGTTGACGTGTACCTATGATGAAAATTACAGGCCTCTCTCATCTTTTTAAGTGGGAGAACTTGCACAATTGGTGGCTGACTAAATACTTTTTTTCCCCACTGTATCAGCTACGTTCTCAGAAACGTAATCCGTCAACAACAGTGAAAAACAAAAGGAGAATGAAAATGTGTTTCCACAGAGAATAATAAATAAAAAATAAAAAGTCTAAACACGACCACAAGTGAGGAGGAGTGGGTTATGTGGGAAGATTTGGCTGTGTGCAGACCACACCACCGCTGATCAGGAACGTGTGTGATGTATTAGTGGGTAGTCTGGTGGGCATTAAGAGATGATATCTCAATGAATAGGCATGATATAGAGTGCACAATGTGTGTGTTCGTGAGGGGGGGGGGGTTGGAGTATAACATATGTAGAACAGAATCACCTGTGTTAAGTAATATTTATCTTAAGTACCTACTCTGTGTGTCTGTCCTTTGTGAGTCTGTTTAAATGGCATGTTAGTGTTTTGTCAGGATCATTACTCTAAGAGCTGTGAGATTCAAAAGGCCAGGAGGATAGGGGGCCTCTTTACTCTTTGTGCCACTGACTATTCTTTTCTCAATGTGTGTGGGAGGGCAACCATGTGAGGGTGTGTGATATCTGTGAATGTGTGTATGCTGCCCTAGAGGTCTCAGTGAGTGTGTCTACAATACTAAATTACGTGCCTGTATATGTGCAGCAGTGCCTTTTCAAAAGGCAATACTTGGGAGCCTGGTAGCTTGTGTGGGTGAAAAGAGTGCACATGTACAGTTTGTTCATATCCAGCCAGCATTTGTACCTTGTTCACTTATTGATTGTATTCAAAACACTGACACCATGCAAGGCAAGAGCATGAAGCCTGACTTCTGTTGCTCAACAGACAGATGGAGCGAGATTTCAAATGGACAACGCGTGCCAGTAGCCGCTTTTAGCACAGTTCTGGTACATATATAGTGTACCTGGTGTAGTTTGACCATGATGGGACCTGTCTTCTCCTTCTCTTCATACTTCTCTACCTTGGACTGTAACCTCTTGTAGTCCTGTAGAGCCTGCTCCCTTCGTTTCACGGCCATGTTGAGGCTGGGGAACACACTGCTGTACCTGAGACACACAGACAGAGACACAGAGAATGAGATCTAGGCACAGAGACTGACAGAGATACTGAGTTTCTGAGACCCTGCTGGACCACAAACATCATGGAGACAAAGTGACACTGCTTTGTACCTGAGATACAGTGCATTTGGAAAGTATTCAGATCCCTTCCCCTTTTCAATATTTTGTTACGTCACAGCCTTATTCTAAAATGGATTAAATCCTCATCAATCTACACACAATACCCCATAATGACAAAGCAAACAGATTTTTTGAAATTTTAGCAAATGTATTAAAAATTAAAACAGAAAGATCTTATTTACATAAGTATTCAGACCCTTTGCTATGAGACTCAAAATTGAGCTCAGGTGCATCCTGTTTCCATTGATCATCCTTGAGATGTTTCTACAACTTGATTGGAGTCCACCTGTGGTAAATTCAATTGATTGGACATGATTTGGAAAGGCACACACCTGTCTATATAAGGTCCCACAGTTGACAGTGCATGTCAGAGCAAAAACCAAGCCATGAGGTCAAAGGAATTGTCTGTAGAGCTCCGCGACAGGATTGTGTCGAGGCACAGATCTGGGGAAGGGTACCAAAATATTCTGCAGCATTGAAGGTCCCCAAGAATACAGTAGCCTCCATCATTCTTAAATGGAAGAATTTAGGAACCACCAAGACTCTTCCTAGAGCTGGCCACCCGGCCAAACTGAGCAATCGGGGGAAAAGGGCCTAGGTGAGGGAGGTGACCAAGAACCCGATGGTCACTCTGACAGATCTCCAGAGTTCCTCTGTGGAGATGGGAGAACCTTCCAGAAGGACAACCATCTCTGCAGCACTCCACCTATCAGGCTTTTATGGTAGAGTGGCCGGATGGAAGCCACTCCACAGTAAAAGTCACATGACAGCCCGCTTGGAGTTTGCCAAAAGGCACCTAAAGGACTCAGACCATGAGAAACAAGATTGAACACTTTGGCCTAAATGCCAAGCGTCACGTCTGGAGGAAACCTGGCACCATCCCTACGGTGAAGCATGGTGGTGGCAGCATCATGCTGTGGGTTTTTCAGCGGCAGGGACTGGGAGACTAGTCAGGATTGAGGGAAAGATGAACAGAGCAAAGTACAGAGAGATCCTTGATGAAAACCTGCTCCAGAGCGCTCAGGACCTCAGACTGGGGCGAAGGTTCACCTTCCAACAGGACAACGACTCTAAGCACACAGCCAAGACAACGCAGGAGGGACTTCGGGACAAGTCCCTGAATGTCCTTGAGAGGCCCAGCCAGAGCCCGGACTTGAACCCGAACGAACATCTCTGGAGAGACCTGAAAATAGCTGTGCAGCGACACTCCCCATCCAACCTGACAGAGCTTGAGAGGATCTGCAGAGAACAATGGGAGAAACTCCCCAAATACAGGTGTGCCAAGCTTGTAGTGTCATACTCAAGAAGACACGAGGCTGTAATCGCTGCCAAAGGTGCTTCAACCAAGTACTGAGTAAAGGGTCTGAATACTTATGTAAATGTGATTTCATTTTTTAATTTTTAATACATTTGCACAAAAAAAAAAAAAAACTGTTTTTGCTTTGTCATTATGGGGTATTGTGTGTAGATTGATGAGGGATTATTTTAAAAAAATAATCAATTTTAGAATAAGGCTGTAACGTAACAAAATATGGAAAAAGTGTAGGGGTCTGAATACTTTCAGAATGCACTGTATGTGGACATAGGCCTAACGAGAAACGATATTGCTCTGTGTACATAGACACACAGGCAAGAGCCCTGTCAGAGGAACAACTTAACAGACAATCTAAATGATTCTTCCTACTAAGCGCAATGTGTTCTCAATTCAGACCAATAAATCTAAACAAATCATGCCAACTGAACCCAAGGTGTTGTCTAAAAAAAAAAAAAAAAAGATTACATAGAAAAAAGTATTGCACTTTAAGATCAAAAGACTGTACAAGAAAAAATATGCTCTCTCTGAACCACTGACAACTTTTTGAAGTGGGGTTTACAAATATCTTTCAGAGGTGCTTGTGTGAGGTCTCCTGGATCGATACGCATGCAGCACAGAAAAGAGCCCTCAAGTAGGAGACATCTTAGTGTAGACTGGAATCACTGTCCTCCTTTGTTGTTTGAAAATCTAATATTGAATTACTCTAGTGCAAATGGCATGAAACAACTCATTCGGTTTCAATTATGTTATTCAAAATGAAAATACATTCTTTCAGAGAGAATCCTTGTCTTAGGTACTAAAAATAGGAAACACTCATCTGTAACTTAGCAACAGAAGTCTGTGCCTCATCCTGGGACTTACTTTGCTCCAACACACTGGTTCTGTGCATTCTGCTTTTATTGGGGAAATACAGTGCAGAAATGCAGCTACGCCACTTCTTTTGCAATAGATTAACATTTTCCAAACTAGAAAACAAAAATGGTTGCCAACCTGTTTAGTCAGAAAATCTAACCAAGTGTCAATGTTGGAGATGTCCAACTAGATACCTGGATTTTCACACATTTGAGAGCACTTTAATATACTTTGTGTGATTATATATAGGCACACTAAGACAGGTGTCATATTCACCATGCATGTTTATTTACACAGGTCTAATGCAAGTTTAATAACCTGATGACATTGCTTTGTTTTTCTATGAATCATCTGAGATGATTTCATACAGGCTGTAGCTAGCTATAGCATAGTTCCTTGAACGTCTGCTACTCTCACTATTGTAAAGTGTGCCAGTGATTCACTTTTTCCTCAAACAATGAGCCAATCCTCATTTCCCTTTACTTCCTATGCAACCGGTGAAGGGAATTGACAATGGACCTGACAAGAGGTTGTGAAATGCAGTCTTCCTCAACACAGAGTAGAGCAGAGTAAGCCCTGTGAGGGGGTGGGCCGGTGGGAGGTGGGCAGTGTGACGTGACCTGGGCTCAGCCTCAGACAAGCTGTGGATTGTTTCCCACAGGAAGTTGAGAAGGGAGCGGCCCTGTATCATTTTGGCGACGTCACAGAGCCCAGCCCTACGGCCCACGCTCTCCCTCCATTTATAAAACATCACTTTGGCCCAGTTTACGGCAGGCAGGCAGCCCAGGGTGGAAGCCTTCCTCTAGTAGCTTACTATCTGCCTCCTGCTCCAGTGTAGTGTTCAGATACTTGAGTGCCAGGGGATTATGCAACCGCCCTCTAGGCACGAGCGCAGTGATACGATTCCATTGGTCCATGACAACATTACACACCACACTGGCTCATTAAAGGCACAAAGGCTGACCGCATTCTCCTCCACCAGGGCACATCACCTCACACCACCTCTGCATGGTGTCATGAGGTGCCATGATGTCTGATGCGCTCACTTCAGACTACAGTAACACAATAGAGTAGTAATGACAGCATTTAGGTCACCCTCACACATGATCACATTGTAGGTAGGAGGTATCTGGTAGTGGCGACAGTCAGGACCACAGCTTTCTTTCTCTTAACGATGTGACTGAGAGAATACCTGTGTGAGCCGATATAAGAGTTGATCCTTCCACACTAATGATCTCCTCACTGTCCCATTGCTGTTATATCTAGAGGTAGAGCTCCAAGAGGATGCCAATGTGTCTGTGTTGTGTTCAGACTGTCTAAAGAGGAGCTCTGTGGGAGCCTGTCTGACTCAGCTGTAACTGACATGTAGTGGAGTGACAGTGGCTGTGTTTGAAGGTCACTGTACACGCTGCGTAATGATAGTTTGGGCTGGATCGCTGGCTGGCCTGGACATTTCCCTAGATGTCTCTGGACTGACTTCCACATACTGACCGGTCAGCTCCAGACCAGCCTATATTTACTCCGGCCTCGTCTAGCCCAGGCTCCGCTGGACCAAGGGCACACTACCACTGTCTGTGTGACAGGTCATTTAGGGTGTGGTGGCTGGCTGAAAATAGCAGGTGGACGAAAATAGCAACTTGTCGAGAGAGCTTGTTTATGACAAGCTGATCCACAGCCGGACCGACACAACCAGTCAGCCAGCCAAGCCCCAGTCTGGACCAAACAGCCCAGCCGGAGCTGACCAGAGACCTGGGAGTAACCTTAGTCTGGCAGGCTGACTGACCGCTCCACTTAACACCGTCAATTTCACATTACTAAAATAACAAAAGGTATCTCTAAGAATATGTTCACCTCCCATGTCTCACTGTCTATGAAATGAGGGACTAACACGGTGAAAGCCAAGATGACTCAATCACAAAATATGCATTATTTATGAGTAATGAAAATACAAAGTATCCTGAACTAAAATATAAATGCAACATGTAAAGTGTTGGACCCATGTTTCATGAGCTGAACTAAAAGATTTTCCATACATACAAAAAGCTTATTTCTCTAAAATGTTTTGCACAAATTTGTTTACATCCCTGTTAGTGAGCATTTCTCCTTTGCCAAGATAATCCAACCACCTGACAGGTGTGGCATATCAAGAAGCTGATTAAACAGCATGATCATTACACAGGCGCACCTTGTGCTGGGGACAATGAAAGACAATGCCACAGATGTCTCAAGTTAAGGGAGTGTGCAATTGGCATGCTGACTGCAGGAATGTCCACCAGAGCTCTTGCCAGATAATTTAATGTTAATTTATCTACCATAAGCCGCCTCCAACGTTGTTTTAGAGAATTTGGCAGTATGTCCAACTGACCTCACAACCACAGAACACGTGTAACCACGCCTGCCCAGGACCTCAACATCCGGCTTCTTCACCTGCAGTATCGTCTGAGACCAGTCACCTGGACAGCTGATGAAACTGTGGGTTTGCACAACTGAAGAATGTCTGCAGAAACTGTCAGAAATCGTCTCAGGGAAGCTAATCTGCGTGTTTGTCGTCCTCACCAGGGTCTTGACCTGACTGCAGTTCAGCGTCGTAACAGACTTCAGTGGGCAAATGCTCACCTTCAAACCTTCAATGGCCACTGGCACGCTGGAGAAGTGTACCAGGACCTCTATACCAGGCGGTGTCAGAGGAAGGCCCTCAAAATTGTCAAAGACTCCAGCCACCCTAGTCATAGACTG